GTTACAAATGAGGGCGTCCTCATTTTGTAACAACAGTAAAAAAAAATCAAAAGCACATAGAAGCATGCAAAAAAGCAAATAAAGTGTTGTTTGTTTTTAAATTGTAAAAATGTTGAAAGTTTAGACAGATTTGTTTGTGTGTGTGTGTGTGTGTTCCACCTGCTGGCTTGCATTCTCTGGAATGACTGCTCACTTGAAATTTAGATTGCATATAGCAGATCACTTCGGTTGACTAACCTGCCAACAGGAGGGTAGCAAAGGCTCTTTGATTTCAATATAGACTTTCCATTCAAAATATACAATATCTAGAGAAGACACTTGATTATACGTTCATTTTCATTTCTGCTGATGTTTGGTTATTGCAAGAAGTGAAAGCAGAGTCCAGAATGAAATATTTTTTACTTTTATTCAACAAGGATGCAATAACAATGTTACAAAAATAAAAAACTATTTCAAACTAATGCTGTTCTTTTAAACTTTCTTTTAATCAAATAATCTTGGGGGAAAAATAGATTTCTGGATCATGTCACAATGAGGACTGGAGTAATGGCTGCTAAAAAGCTTTGCCATCACAAGAATACATTACATTTTAAATAAAATATATTAAAAATAGAAGACAGTTATTTTATTTATTTTAATTGTATTTTATAAATTAGTGTTTTTACTGTATTTTTGGAGAAACCCCAGGTTTTTTATCCTACTTACAGAAACTTGATAAAGTTGTTAGTGTGAGTGAAAGTACAGAACCTTTTCTTTGTTCAGTCATCAAATGTAGCCATCAAGTAGTGATCGGTAAGCAATAGCAATAATGAAAGAAACTGTCAGTGCTGTGTTAAATTCTGTAAATAGTAAGCAGTGCAGTTGATATAAGAAGATTTTATGCTCTGTAGCCACAAAAAGCCTGAGACATCAAATATCAATAACACTTTGTGCGGTTCCCATTACAGTAACAGGAATAGTGGACTTGGTAACAGCTGCGTTCGCAGTTCTTCCTTAGGTGTAGTGTGTGATAGTGCTCTTTGCAGTTTCTCACTGAGAGGCTTCCCTCAGGATAAATGTCTAGTTCTGACTAGTTCTTTTCAGTTATGTGTCATTCTTATGTGAAATACTGAAGTTTAAAATAAATATAAAATGTAAATAAAAGGGCATAAATTAATGAAGTTAATTTAGGTCACCTAATTCGAGACTTCACACGTTAACAGTAAGGTTCAGAAATGTACACTAAGAGCATTGTGTTGCTTTGGTTTTCAAGAAACTCTTGATTTTACCTACACAGATTATCCTCATAAATATGGAGCAGAAGGTGGCTGTGCAGATCACTCTGTTTTTGAGAGGATGAAGAAATACCAGGCATCTGCAGTGGAAGAGCCCACCCAGGTCAGCGCCAACACCCCTTTACACAACTCAGCTGAACACCACTGATATCACCAACTAGCACCATGATTCTGATCTCAGATATTTGGAACATTTCCTGTTTCCCATGGTTCTGAATTTCAGATTTCAATTTGATACCTTGCCTGAATATATCCATAATTCATCAGATATAAATTAGATATAGATGATAAATTATAAATGAGAAATGCATTATTTTTATTATAAATAATTATACATTATTTTATCTGTGCCTAAACATAAATGTTTTTCTTTTCAGCCTCCTCAGTGAATTTTTTTTTTATACATCCTGCTTTTTTTTTCTGCAGCATATGAACCACGTGATTGACAAAGAGATGGCTGATGGACCAGTGATCCTGAGGAAACGTCGTGCAGCACAGGCAGAGAAAAATACCTGTCAGCTCTTCATCCAGACGGATCACCTCTTTCACAAATACTACGGCAGCAGGGAGGCTGTAATCGCACAGGTACACCTAAAGCACAGGAGACTTAGTGGTATATGGTACCTGCAGTTTTTTATATTGTACGTTTATAGGGTTGTTCTTTTGGGTTGTGCAGATTTCCAGTCATGTGAAGGCCATTGACTCCATCTATCAAAGCACAGATTTTAAGGGCATCCGCAACATTAGCTTCATGGTGAAGAGAATCAAGGTGAGTGTGTTCTCTCTTTCTTCAGTCTACTTATTAATATTATATGTATGTCATTCCCTAGTGAAATATTATGGATTAAGTGTAATTTGTAATTACTGATGCTAATGTAAATATGTCTGGAATATAAACAGGATATTCTTCTTATTGACTGTGATTTGCTGGTTAGAATACAAGTTCCATCAGAGGGGTTACAGATCTCACCCAGGATTGACCAGATGTCAATAAAAGCTTGTCATTCCTGTACTGCAGCTCTTTTGAAGACTTGTATAGTTCACTTTTTAGTCCCATGCTGCTTCTTTTTTTTTTTTTTTTTTTTTGTGCTGCTTAAGGGGGCGTTCACACAGAATGTGTTTAAAAAAACGTTTTGGACAAAAGTGTGTGTTTTGATGTACAAAAACAGAACTGATTGTAACTTGACACAGTGTTTTAACACAGCATTCCTGCATGAGATGACAAAAAAACTCTGTGACATCTGTCTAAGAATGTGGACACAATATTAACATATCTATCCTGTATCTCATGTATACTGAACATAGACTGCAGACTGTCTGTTGTATTAAACTGAAGTTTGTTTGCATTTTCATTTCAGATCAACACTACCGAAGATGAGAAGGATCCTTCTAACCCTTTTCGATTTGCCAACATTGGTGTGGAGAAATTTCTTGAACTCAACTCGGAGCAGAATCACGATGACTACTGTCTAGCCTATGTCTTCACAGATAGGGATTTTGATGATGGAGTCCTGGGTCTGGCCTGGGTCGGGGCTCCTACAGGTACGATCAGAGACGAACATACAAAGTCTCCGCAGTTTTGTCTCTTGAGAGGTTTTATGTGTGTGCGAGTGACCTAAATGAGTGTCTGCTAATCTGAAATGATATCAGCATGCATGTCAGGAGGTGAGGCAGTGCTGAAGACCTGCGAATCAGATGTGTTGTTGATGAGTATCAACACTGATGCTTGAATGTGGGACTAGCCATGTCGTCTCCATTAACCTCAATACACAGTCTGACAAGAAAGACCTCACACTGTTTGTGTGTGCGTGTACTATGCTATACTTTGAGGGCGTAACTGTTCCTTGAAGTTAGCAAAATGTATCCTTTGCAGGAATTTGCATTTGGAAAATACATTTAATTAATAAATATTTATTATTATTATTAATTAGGAATTAATTATTAATAATAGTAATAATACATTTATTTGTAATAAACATGTAAATAAATACTGAAAATAAATAAAAAATGCTAAATATTTAAATTTAGAGCTAGGTTTAGGGTAAGTCTGTATTAATTATATTTAACTTATTAAGATAATATAAGTCTACGAAATGTCCTTATTTAGATAAATGTGTTTAAATGGCATTGATT